AGCCTTGCCTTCCGGGCCCAGTGCTGGAGCAGGCTACCAGAAGTGGGGCTGCTGACAGGAGGGAAGGTAGCAGCTGCAGAAGGAGGTTATGCCTAGGAGCTTGTCCCAGAGCCCACCCTATGTCATGAGAGGAATGAAATCAAATGGGCTGTCAGGAGAAGAGCCTGCAACTTTCTATGTCACAAATTCCTTTTTCCCAATGTAGCTTCCAGTTAGTGCTGGGTCTTTATCTGGCAAGGGTGTGGAACCAGGAGCCCTGGGTCCAGCTTGGCATTGCTGCTCCCTGTTATAAGTCACTCTCAGTGAAATGTGGCTTAGTTCTCCATAAAGCAGGACAATAATCAGCACAGGGCTTTCTTTATGTTGTTTATTCTTGTATCTGTCTACCATCTCTCCATCTACTGTAGGGTCAACATAGGGTTGCCAGGGGTGTGGGCAAAGCTAACATCCTGGGAGTCTGTGGGGAACCTCCCCAAGTCTAGTGGCGGGCTAGTCATCTTTCCTAGAAGACTGTTCAGTTCCACTGTCCTGCCCCTGCTGATGCCAGCTGCTCTGCCTGCCCTTCCTCTCCTTAGGTGCACAAGGAAGCCTTGTGCCAGGGCCTTGGCCTGCTCCAGTTCCCCTCAGTGCTCCCATTGGACATCCAGGCCCTCCATCTATCTGGCAATCAGCTGCGGAGCATCCTGGCCTTTCCCTTGGGTTTCTACACAGCACTTCGTCACCTGGACCTGAGTGTCAATGAGATCAGTTTCCTCCAGCCTGGTGTTTTCCAGGGTCTACCCCACCTGGAGCACCTGAACCTGGCCCACAATCACCTGGCTATGGGCATGGCTCTGAACAGCGGTGGGCTGGGCCGCCTGCCTCTCATAGCCTCCCTAGACCTATCTGGAAACAGCCTGTACGGCAGCCTGGTGGAACGGCTGCTGGGTGAGATGCCAAGCCTGCACACACTCTCACTGGCAGAGAACAGTCTCACACGCCTGGAGCGCCACACCTTCTGGGGCATGCCAGTCCTCGAGCGACTGGACCTCCACAGCAATGTGCTGATGGACATCGAGGATGGTGCCTTTGAGACACTGCCTCGCCTGACCCACCTCAATCTCTCCAGGAACTCCCTCACCTGCATCTCCGACTTCAGCCTCCCGCAGCTGCGGGTACTTGACTTAAGCTGTAATAGCATTGAAGCCTTCCAGACAGCCCCAGAACCCCAGGCACAGTTCCAGCTGTCCTGGCTGGACCTGCGGGACAACAAGTTACTCCACTTCCCCGACCTGGCTGCGCTACCGAGACTTGTCTACCTGAATGTATCTAACAACCTCATCCGGCTCCCTGCAGGGCAGCCCCAGGACAGTGAGGGCCTCCATGCACCCTCCCAGGTCTGGTCGGACTCTCCATTTTCTAACCCCAGCCGGAATACCAGCACCCACTCTCTCTCCCAGCTCTTGAACCTAGATTTGAGCTACAATGAGATTGAGCTGGTCCCTGATAGCTTTCTTGAGCATCTGACCTCCCTGCGCTTCCTGAACCTCAGCCGAAACTGCCTGCGATCCTTTGAGGCCCAGCGTGCTGCTTCCCTGCCCTGCCTGGTGCTCTTGGACCTGAGTCACAACGTCCTGTCGGCACTGGAGCTGGGCACCAAGGTCCTAGGGTCCCTACAGACACTGCTCCTCCAGGACAACAGCCTGCAGGAACTGCCACCCTATACCTTCACCAGCCTAGCCAGCCTGCAGACGCTCAACTTGCAGGGAAACCAGGTCAGCCCCTGCGGAGGACCAGCTGAGCCAGGTCCCCCAGGCTGCGTGGCCTTCTCTGGTATCCACACTCTTCAAGTTCTGAACATGGCAGGGAATATGATGGAGACGCTTAGGGCAGGGACTTTCCTCCACACACCACTTACTGAGCTGGACCTCTCAGACAATCCAGGGCTAGACGTGGCCATGGGTGCCTTGGCTGGCCTGGAGACATCCTTGGAGGTACTGGCACTGCAGGGCAATGGACTGACTGTCTTACAGGTGGATTTGCCCTGCTTCCGCTGCCTCAAGCAGCTCAACCTTGCAGAGAACCGCCTCAGCCACCTGCCTGCCTGGACACAGACCGTGTCCCTGGAGGTGCTGGACCTGCGGAACAATAGTTTCAGCCTCTTGCCTGGCAGTGCCATGGGTGGCCTGGAGACCAGCCTCCGGCGCCTCTACCTACAGGGGAATCCACTTAGTTGCTGTGGCAACGGCTGGCTAGCAGCCCAGCTACACCAGGGCCGTGTGGATGTGGACGCCACCCAGGACCTAATCTGCCGCTTTGGCTCCCAGGTGGAGGTGGCCCTGAGCCACGTACGTCCCGAGGACTGTGAGAAGGGGGGACTCAAGAATGTCAACCTCATCATCATCCTAACCTTCACACTAGTCTTTGCTGCTGTCCTTACCACACTGGCCACCTGCTGCTGCATTCGCAGGCAGAAGTTTAACCAACAATACAAAGCCTGATGGGGCTGGAGGATCCTTCTGCATCAGTGTGGGAGCTGTAGGGGCAGAGAAGCTGGGGACCAACCCAGGTCACACAGTGGCCAGTGGCCTAGCACAGTTCCCCTTTCTCTGCATCCTGCCATGTGGACAGGTAGCTATTTCCCAGGTTGCCTATGTGTTCCCACTGTGGAGCCAAAAGTGGGGCAGTTTCAGCCAGGCAGAGGATACTTTTGACCGTCAGATCAGCAGATCCACATTGAGCATCTGTTTCAGGTCACACTCTTCTCTGGGCACCAGAAAATGAAATGCATACCTGTCCTCGGGCCACAAAGGCCCAGAACAGGGGAGAGACCACACAGGGCAGTGGTCTTGAGGAGGGTCCCCTGGGTCCCCAGACCTCCCCCAAGTCTCCAGCTGGTTTGCTGTAGAGAATCCCACCCCAGCTGTGCCTGAACAAGGGAGGGCCAAGCCCAAGAGGATTTGTCTGTACCGTTTCCATGCAGCCAGCTCTGTCACATCTGCTAATGACTCTCAGCTCTCTGGAAATGAAAAGCTTGTGACCGGAAGAGAGAACCAGCAGTTTTGGATCTCTGTTCCTAGGCTAGCTTTCAGGGTTCCAGCAGGCAGGGCCTGCTTCAGACCTGTTCACCTGGGCAATTGTTAGGCCATCCTGTGTCCTGCTCTAGACAAGCCCCTCCCTCTCATGCACTCTCCTTTGGCACACACTGACCCATATGCTGGACCCCCTACCCCATGCTCAGGTGTCCTTCCATCCCAGCCCAACCCTAACTGCTGAGCTGAGAGGAGGAACCCTGGCTCCCTGGCTACCTTGCACCCTGCTTGGCAGCTGCAGAGGCACCAAGCTGACTCTCAGAGGTTGCTGTGTTCTCCCCATTATGCACAAGAAGAAAGTGAAGTTCCCCAAGTCTCCCTTGAGAGCCCCACAGCTGAGATAGACCAAAGCCAAGAATGAACCAAACCCATGTCCTTCCATCTCCAGGGCCCTGAGCCTCACCAGGACCATGGCTTCAGTCTCTCAGGTGAACAGGAAGTGACCCCACACTGACCAGGGCCCAAGCATCCTTGCGGCACACACCTACTTTCCTCTTTCAGGCAGGCACCTGCAGGCCCTCTGCTCAGTGCTCCTCATTCCTTTATAGACTGGTTTGGGTTCTCCCTTTTCTCACCTTGTTCCCACAATCTCATTTTCCCTTTGTTAAGCATAGCCTGGAGTTTTAGACCATTGAGTGCAACTTCCCATTAAATAGATAGGAAAACTGAGGTTTAGGAAGAGAATGGGACTTGCTCCAAGTTGTATAAGTCAGTGGTTGGACTGTTGCACAGTGGTAGAGCACTTAGCTAGCATGCACAAGGCCCTGGGTTCAATGCCCAGCAGCCCTGAAAGTCAGGGATGGACCCATGTGGTTTCCCACTCTCTCAGTCGCAGCACAAGACAATGCCAGCTATAACTTCTGTTCCTCACCATGCCGTGGACTCTTCCCCTAGAAAATACAAAGGAAGACCCCTCAGACTCACCACTCACCCCAGGGTCATGAGCTGCAGAGAGGAAACGAAGCCCTCAGCCCCATCACAGAGCCTGCTTCATCCACTTCCCAGTGCCTGGCCCATACACAGTCTGCCAGGGCATTCAGTAATGCACCGAAAAAATGAAAACACCACTCTGCCCCGTTTTACAGATGAGGAAACTGAGGGCCAGAGAAGGTTAAGGGCTCAAAGAGCCAACGGGCAGATCCATGGCTAGGACCCTCACTGAGGGCTGCTAGTGGGGACCAGGTGCTACTGCACACAGCACTCTTCCTCGGGCCTGGAGGCCAAGCTGCCGCCCTGTGCCTGGGCTTTGAAAACACTATATCATGCTGCTGTCACCTCCCAGGAGCTGGCCGCTGCCAGGCCCTGGGACCAGCTCTTTGTGTAACCCACATGAATGTATTAAAGTATAATTTTGGAGAAACTGTGGCCTATCAGCGTCCTTACTGTGGGTAACTGCACCACCGCCTGTACTTGAACCTTTCCTGTCCCATCAGTCTTTCACTCCTTTCAGTGCATCTCTGGAACACTGAGACTCTTGACCAGCCCCACCCTAGACCTTGGGTCCCAGCCTTCACATGGCCTCCTCACACCCAACACCATCTGTCCCCCACCCCAACCAACCCTAAGAAACATGGCTTTTGCTTCTTCCCATCCATGGGCAGTTGTGCATCTCCCACCTTTCTGTGTTCTCACCGCCTAGCCGTCTTAAAACCAGTGAAAACTTCCTTAAACCACTTTGCCCATCTATCTCTCCTCCCCGGTCTCCATGGCAGACCCTCCCTTCACAGCTCACCCTCGCCCATCTATCTCTCCTCCCCGGTCTCCATGGCAGACCCTCCCTTCACAGCTCACCCTCGCCCATCTATCTCTCCTCCCCGGTCTCCATGGCAGACCCTCCCTTCACAGCTCACCCTCGCCCATCTATCTCTCCTCCCCGGTCTCCATGGCAGACCCTCCCTTCACAGCCCACACCCTCTTCCGTAACTGAGGCCCTTTAGGAGCCTAGTACTTTTCAGACTCCCTTGGCCCTGGAAAACGGGGATTGCTGGAGAATTGGGGACAAATTTAGTCTACGAGCAGCCAGGCTGCATATTTTAAATATTTATTAGTTTTCATTTTATGTGTATGAGTGTATTGTCTGCATGTATGTAAGTGTACCCATGTCGTACAATGCCCTCGGAGGTTAGAGAGGGTGTCAGATCCCCTGGAAATGGAGTTTCGGATGGCTGTTAGCTGCCGTGTGGGTGCTGGGAACCAAACCCAGGTCCTCTGCAAGAGCAGCCGGTGTTCTTAACCGCTGAGCCATCTCTCCATTCCCTAGGCTGCATATTTAGATTGAACCTGCAACTTGGAGAGTGAGAGTTGTGAGAGGAGGAAGGTTAGGAGCTGCTAATTGCTGGACAAGTGAAGAGACAACAGTAGTCAAGGGGGCCAAGTGCGATTTGAGAGAAGCAAGGGTGGGTAGTAATGCCTCCTTGGTCTTCCCACTTCTCAATTTGTAGCCCCAGGAGCTGGTTCTGGTTCTCTAGAGGCCCTGCCCAGGATACCATTCCCCAGGTACTTGCCCTCTGAGATTACCACCCTACTTCCCTAGGCTGCCTCTCTGCAAGCCTCAGCTTTTCCCTAACCCCCAAGCACCCTGGACACAGAGCCACAGCTCCAGGGGCCACTGAACCCTGGAGGGGCAGCCCTGCCTAGAGATGCCTTAAAACAGCTTCTTTGCCTGCAACCTCTCATCCCCATTCCTGCTCTCTGCTCATGTTCCAGCAGACAAATGAACTGCCTATGTCACTGGGCAGTGCTGGGGCTGGAAAGGCACACAGTAGGAGCTCAGTGATGGCAGAGTCAAGCCAGGCAGTAGCAAAGACTGGGCTCAGACCAGGGCCTGAGGGATCCCCATCCAGCAGGAGCCCACTAGGCCCCTGACCCCTTTTCCTGACAAACGGGAGTCCACTCACCTGGCCAAGACCCCCCAGTAAGGCAGAAATTCCTGTTTTCAGCCAAACATGGACACAGCTGCCAACTAGGTCATCCGAACATCCGGTTCACTAAGCTTTCAGCCAATTCCAGGGAGAGGGAGGTCCTTGTGTGCCCCGTATCACAGGCCACCTGGAGTACTGGCCTCTACTCATTCAACCATACCCTGTGAGGGATCCTGCACCCCACCAGTGATTCACCCTCTCAGCCCACCTGAGGCAGGGATCAGCTGCCTGTTGTGTGTACCCCTGTCCTCTAGGCAGCCCCCAAGATCTGCTGCCCTCCAGCCCCTCTGCTATTGCCCAGTATCTACTGACCATTACTGTTTCTGGGAAAGTCTTGGCTGAGCAGTTGATATACCTTGTTATTTTAATTTCAATAATTTATTTCTGTTGTTACCCTGAGATTCCAGAGCTGAGACTTGAACTCAGGTCTACCCCACTCTAAAACCAGTGATTTTTTTTTCTTCACTTTTTATCATTTTTTGCTTATTTGTGTATGGGGTATGCATGCACGCACACATGTGGCGATCAGAGGACAACTGACGGGGGTCAGTTCTTTCCTTCTACCACTGTAGGTCCAGGAGATCAAACAACTCAGGTCATCAGGCTTGACGGCAAGCACTTTTACCCACTGAGCCAAATGACCAACCCCTTGTTTGTTTTTCTGAGTCAGGGTGTTACGTAGCCAGGCTGGCCTTGAATTCAGTATGTAGCTGAGGATGACCTTGAGCACCTGACCCCCGCCCCCATCTCTACCTCCCAAGTGCTGGGATCACAGGTGTATGCCACCACACCCAGGACAGAGCCAGCAATCTTAATCACTGGTAGTCCTGCCACCTGACCCTCCCAACCCCAGGCTCTCCCCTCCTCCACCTTGAATGTTCTACACACCCTGACACACCACAAACTCCTACTGTGCTTGCCTGAATGGATCACCTCCTCTGGGGAGACTGCCTAGATTCCCTCCTCCAGCTACTTGCATCCTTGGGCAGCCCTCAGCCAAAGCATTGGGCATCTGCCTGGTCCACCATCAGACCAAGAGTCTTGGAGAAAAGCTCCTACCCAGAGTCCTCTGTGTGTCCCCAGGGTCTGTGAGCCAACATAGCAGTGAGCTCAGAAAAGATTTCCTGAATGAATGGCCCCTGACCTCTAGGACTTATGAACTCTTGGGATTAAGACCAGCCTCAGACAGACCCAGGGAGTACAGAAAAAGCACAGGGCAGCGGGACATGGACACTCTAGGGGCAGCAGCAGCAATATAAGCATGTTCTCTGGCCAGCCTCTATTGTCCTGTGGTCTCCCCTGGCCTCTAGGATCCTGTCTTATCTCTGTCCTTCCCCTCTCTGTCCTCCCTCGTCTTCTCATTCTTCCTCCCTGCTCCTATCACCTATCTCATCAGAAACAGTTGTACTGAGAACAAGGCTGGAGGGGAGGGAGGCCCAGGCTGTTTATAGGAACTGGAGTCACTCCATCCATCAGCTCTGTTTGGAGTGCAGACCAAGAATAATAAATAACTTGGCTCCACCCCAGCTGTGCTTTCCCTGAACTTGGCCATCCCAACTCCAAACCTTTCTAGCCAGCTGGTTCTCAGGATCCAGCTCCCACCCCACCCAACTCCCACCTCCCATCAGGCTGGCCTGGAAAGAGTTCTGCCTCTAAGATAAGAAACTCAGAGCTGGGTACATTTGCTATTCCATTACTCTGGGAGTGAAGGCAAATTGCATTGTTTGTGCCTTCATTTCTTCATCTGTACAGTGGGTTCACAATTGTGTTCATTTGTAAGGCCAGAGTGCTTAAGCATCCAAAGGTTCTGGGTTCTGGGTCTGTGAGAGACCTGGGGGCAATTGGATTAAAGCCTTTGCTATGGGGTAGAGGGAGAGAGGAGACCCATACCGCAGCACAAAGCCAGGAAGCTGTCACTGGTGAGGGAGGTCTGGATTTCATGTTCTGTGAGGCCTTGCAGCTGGAGTGAGGGGAACTTCAAGAATGTCTGAGCTGCCTGCAGGAAGGATGAGCCTTCTGCATGAGATAGAGAAGCCCAGGCAGAATGATGCTGGACGCTGGAGCCAAGCCGAGCCTAGCCTAATCTAGCCTAGCCACTGGAGATTCAGTGTGTTGTGAGAAGAGTTTGCTGCTGCCCAGATCATAGCTTTTGCCCTTGGGCTCTCTGGTCCTTCAGCATAGTCTAGCCTTCTGGAATCTTCTTTTCTTTACAGGAACGCTTCCAACTCACCCTGCTCTACTCTTCCAAGCTGTGGGTACCTTTCCAGAATTCTGTTGTCACATCTCCACAGCTCCTTCACCCAAAACACCACCTTACAAAGTAGAGCACTAAGATAATGAAAAATTATAGACCAGTAGTATGTGTTTCTGGAGTAAATTAGAGAAATTAATAAAGGAGTAAATAAAAGAATGAATTAGAGAGACCAAGCCAACAGGTCCAGAGCCCAGTGATGGTCTCTGGGCACTGATAGCTCATTAAAGAAATAAACATTAATCTCTCTCTCTCTCTCTCTCTCTCTCTCTCTCTCTCTCTCTCACTCTCTCTCTCCACACACACACACACACACACAAAATAAAACAATGACAGACTGTGATGAGTACTATGACAGGAGAGTCAGGGAGACAGTTGAGACAGGGCAGGAAGCACAGGAACCCTCTCAGAGGATGTGATGGTGGGCTGAGATGGAGAAGGATGTAGACTGAGAGGTGGGAATGAATATTCTCTGATGTTTACCAAAACACCTGGAGAGGGTAGGGACAGAGCTCTGGACCCTGAGCTGGGTGCCCTACACTCAAGGCAGCTGCCACTGAGGACCTCCCTGCCCCACCCCCGATCCTCTGATTCCCTTTCTGAAATCATGGAGAAACAAGAGGTCCTGGGAGTCAGGCCTTGTGAGGGCAGGGGTGAGAGAGCCCAATTCCAAAAGCCCCTACTTTTTTTTTCCTGGAGAATGGGTTGGACTTACTAGCTTTCCACATCATTCATGTCAGCTTTTACTACCAGCTCCGCTAACCATTCCTATCAAACCCTCTGTATGTTTCCTCTAGGATCATCAAGTCACTGCTGATAGACAAAATCAACTGTGTACAAATATGCATATACATAGATTACAGATTTTTAA